TTTCTATAATATGATATTCATCATTTTTGGCTTTGATGCTAGTTAACTCTTGTGCTAGTAAAGTTATTAAAATATAAAGAAATTATTTAAAAATTTGCAGAATAAATAATATATGAATAATTATAATATAATCAATTATCACATACATCTATCAGCTGGATTAACTCCAAGTAAATACTTCCATACTTCCTTTAGAGGAAAAATAAAGATATAGATAGAAATTACTTGATAAGAAGAAAAATCAAGGATAAATGTTTATCTGAGAATAATCGATAATTAAAAATTAAAAATTGATAATGCAAAAAGATCATCTGATAAGAATTTACCCCACGAACTTTCATGGGAACACCATGTCTAGCCGATTCTCGCAGCTTATCAAGGTCGACATAAACTTCAGCATTTAAAATATCTTCAAATTCAGTGATTAACGTTGACATCTCTAGAGTTTTTTGATTGACGAAAGTACAACACAATGAAAAGAGAGGACGACGAAATAAAATTAGAGGATATGCAGGAAATTATATACAAAGGACCGAAATAAGGCCTCAAAGTTAATCTATTCGAGTTTCAATACATGATTCCAGTAAGAAAGATGTGAATTTTGTAGTAACAGTTGATTATTATCGGGAGCAAGAAATTTATAAGGATATATCAGACAATTAACAGCAACTTATGTATAAAATGATATAAGAGAATAGACCTCTGAAGGAATGAATATAGGGGAGTTATGTTAAAAGTGAGAAGAAAGAAGGTCAGTATTTTGAATATATTTATTCTAGAACTATTGAGAAACGGGGAATAGAGTGATTTATAATGCAAGTTTCAACCAGTTACTGCATTATATGATGATTTTAGCTAACTAATACCGATACATCGATATCTTATCACAATCTTATCATGTTCAATACCATTTGATATCAGGGTATTCTCGCGTCTCGAACGATCTGTAATTTTTTGATAGGGTCGTCATCGTCATAACAAGTATCGGCTTTACCAAAAATGACTTTCCCTTAGCTTCCATGTGTGATTCAGAATTATAAGACTTTATCATCCCTTCGTAAATTACTGCTTTAGGCTAATCGGTTACTCTAAATTTTCTAAATTTATTGCGTCACTCAAATAGTTTCTATATCGGATAGGATACCTCCGATCCGGAAATCACCGAAATTTCCTTAATATCTCGATCTTATTTGTTACTACGTACTGTTCTACATAGTGTATCGGTACATTTCTATGGCTTTACTTATTTGTCCCGTCCTAAAACGGAAATAACCAACAGAGAGTAAAAGAAAGCAATAATATTTGAGTTAATATTTTAAATCGAATATTAAATATATAATTAATAGTTATCAAGATGGGCTGATTTTTGGAAATTCTCTTCTACGTACAATCAAAATCGCTAAAATCCAATCAAAGTATCCCGAGATCGTCAAGGTGGATGTTCTATAGAATAGATAGAATAGGTGAACAATAAGAAATAAGCTTCGCTAATGATTAGTAATCATTAATTTTTTAATTTATTCAGCGAAATTTAGTGGAGTTTGCCCACCTATTCTATAGAACATCTAATTTAAAATTTTAATTTATACTAATAATTCTTTAAGATATGAATTTTTTTATTTGTTTTAGCTTCTTTTATATAAGAGTTTTATATATTAACAAACCTATATATTAACAAACCAATAAAAATCTATTAGCCAAGATTAGGCGAGTTGGATTAATGAAATCTAGGTGATAACAAAGTGATACTCATAAACTGCTTAACCCAAATGATCCAAAATTGATTTGGTTCAGGTTAGTTTTGGGGTATTTTAGTTAATCTTTTCGGAGCACTACTCATAAATGGGATATAAAAACTCATATTAAGCAATTTTACGATCACTGATCAAATCATCACTTTTAATTTCAATAATCACACCATGTTTTATATCTTATTGGCTTAGATTCTATTTAATCTCATAGTTCAGTTTAAATAATCACTAAAATTCCAATTTTCCGCCCATATGTAATACAAATTTACCTATATAAAATATCTAATCTAAACTCAATTATAAAATTAATTAAAATATTAATTTATAAAAAACGTTTTTGCTTTAAGAAATTTCAACACAAACAGTTTCTAATTCTGGCCAATCAGAAAACAAAATCAGGTATGACGTGAAAATTAAAGAAACAAAAAAAAAAAGATATAAATTCGGGCTATGTCTTGGCTAGTGCAAATTATGTCTACACTGCGGAGTTCGGGTCTTTTTCCAGCCTTTCTCCCCTTTTTTAGAAAGACGGATTTACAGAATCAATTAACTAATATTCAGCGATAATCTCAGCTAATAGAAACTGTGGGTAAATGCAGTTCCGAGACCGGTTATTAACTCGACTCTTTGCATTAGTTCGGGTACGATTCTTACCAAAACCCTCCGGGAACACTAACTAGACTATAAAACTGCCTTCTGCGCACCAATGAAAAAATCTCCTTGTAAAAAATTTTGGTATAAGCAATACCTTCTAACTCTAACTTAACAGCACTTTGAAAAATTTTTGGGCGGCGATTTAATCTGACCAGGGTTGGGCTTGGACAAAAATTGGACATATAAAATTGCGATTGGACAACCCTAGAATTTAAACAATATAGAGATGCGATCCGGATATCCGTTAAATTTTAAATAGTAAAACGGATAACGGATCGCATCTCTAAGGCAATAATACCAGCCAATTATATATAGAGGGCAACTTGATTTAATGAGTTGGTCATGACTTTTACTTAAAATTAAATATCGCCCATTCTGATGGATTCCAACCTGGAATCCACTGGTTTTTGGGAGCGGTGCTACTCCAGTAGTATGAATTTATATCTTATCATTTCATTTGACGTAGATTTTTATTAATGACATTTAGATTATATTAACATGTTCCAAAAAAAAGTGATGAATCGAACCAATGGCATAAGGTATCTGTGTTTCACCTCGATCCAAACAAATTTCATGAACATATTTTCCAATATTAGATATATAACAAATTAACGTTATTCTTTGATTATGGTTCGCGTATTCTGTCTAAATAGTCAGCAATATTGTCGAAAGTCAATTTCACTAATTGTCGACGTGTCAACCGTTTCTTAGTAAATCTAATAAAAAAAAAGACATCTTTCATTAATTGTACTTAATAAAATTTTCCAAACATTATAAAATGATGCCAAACTTACGGACAGGTATCTTTGGACTCGTGTGAATTTAGAATTTTGATCCAAGTTTTGTAGTCACATACGTACCTGTGCGTTATAATGAAAAATTAAATTAAAAAAATTTTTTAAACGAAAATACCAAAAAGTTAAGAGGAAACTAACCCATCCGGTGAGATTGCTGGTTCATTCATATTTTCCATCGTAATCGCATCTTTCATGTTTGGCAACGGATTCCAAGGGTTATAATTAATTTTGGTTTTCGCATTCCATTTATCATCCTCCTTTTGACTAGAAAATTTTCTCGCTCGCTTGATTTGACCGTTGGAAGACATAGATTTAACGAGTTTATCGTAATTTACTCGTAAAGCTGTCACGGGACAACCATCAAATTCACCAATTTGACCCGTAGTCACCAGGCGATTATATTCATATTGACATTGAAATCCCGTTCGATTGGGAATATTACGCGCAACTAACCCAAAATGAAAAGAAACATCGCTATCCGTAATTAATGGGTCAATATTTCCACAGAATTTACGGATTTCTGATAAAAGAATTTGCCTTTCTTCATCTTTCCACTCTTTATCACAACAAAAAATTTCTCCTTCACCAACAAATCTATAATAATATTCCTCTATATCATTTTCTTTGACCATTTTTGTAAATAACTGTTGTAATAGTGGGTCAGAAAATCCAAAAAACAAAGGACCAGAAATACGAGTTGCTAGTTATCGATTCATTAAATGTTGGTAAAATTAAAAAATTATTCATATGTATCTCTTACCAGTATCACGTGATCACGAATCATTATAGAATTATAGACTGTGTACATACCTCGTGATGACGAATGAGAGACACATACCATTGTCCATGGTTTGGTAGGTGAACTTCCCGTAAAAGATTGTTTTGTCGACTGGTTTGTAACTCTGAAAAGCGGATTTCCAGTCGTTGGATCTTCTTCAATGGACATTATGTAGGTAGTATTTGATTCTATTCTCTTAGCTTTGTAATTAATAGGAATCGGATGATGATACAATGATCCCGGACTTGACCACCATGATGGAGACTTGTGATAACAACCAAGAGCGATGACGGTGGTTCGTGTTGATGGCAAAGTGAATGGGACATCTATTTGATCTAATGACTCAAATTCTTCAGCTGTGGGAGTCGAAGGGGTTGAAGGAGAAGAGTAGCCTTCTTCTATATATTTTTCATCAGGTATGTAACTAGCAGGCTGTAGCAAATTACGAAAGCCTCTTGCACTCTTCCCCGCAAGCTTATTAAGAACTTCATGTTCATCATCATGACAAAGAGACAATGCCAAACGTGCTTTTTCTTCCGTCAAATCAGAGGCAAACATGATAGTTTGTATCTGCGCCAGAATTAAACGCATAAATTTTATGACAGCAAAATTGTGTATTACCATTTTTGAGAATTTTAAATAACGCGCTCTAAGTTAAAATACCTTTTGATTTATATCTTTTTCTACAAACGCTTCATATTTTGACCTTACTTCGTGAATGCGTTTCATAATAATCTGTTTCTGTTCTTCGGTCATGTCAGGGTCTTCAAGAAACTTGGGAGCGGGACAAAAGACGTTTGTCTGCTGTTGCTGTGGTATTGCAATCGGGTTATGTCTAGTCTTATTGACGCGTAACGCATGCTTTATTTTCATTTTAACTTTTGAAATTTCTAATTTCTTTTCAATAATAACACGATTTTTAAAATAGTAGTTCTCGCGAAAATTTAACTGTTAAGGGTCAATTCACATGACCACGGAAGAAACCGTTGCATCCTGTTTTAATTAACACGGAGATGATCTACAAACATATCATTATCGTAATCGCCAAAAATTTAACTACAGATAATTCAACAGGGTCTTTAGTTTTATGCGATGCAAATAGTGGTGACCTAATTTACTGCACAAAAAATGCGCGGCAGATCCTTTACTAATAAACAAAGAAAACTGCGCCTAAAAATTTAGTCTATAGGCAAATATCAGCATAGAGCAAGTTTGATTGTATTGGTTAAAAAAAAAATGATCGACATTTATGTTGATCAACTATAATTTTACAATAATCGTAATAAGTAAATTTGATTTGTTATAAGAAAAAATTTTTTTTTATTATGAAAAAAAAAAGAATAACGTGTATACCTAAAACTTGCACTTCTTTGTCGTTTAATAAAATAAGATCCAAATAGATCCGGTAAGTAAAGAATT